CTCATTAGAACTAATAATTCATTATAGCTCATATTTGTGGAGCATTTTGTGTCTATAATCTCTGGACAAAATCTAGCTAGCTGCACCGCCAGTTCTTCTGGTTGAGTTTCATGGCAATTTGCAGAAATCAATGCCGCACAGAGCGCACCCTGTCAGAATCCAGATTGAGTAGAGCTCAATTTCCCCCTTTTCTTGCAAGAGCTGAGAAGGAAAGAGAGACGGAGGAAGAGAGAGATGAAGCCTGCAAAAAGCCTGTGGGTCGCCCAAAAAGACATCTAAGTTCCAGGCTAGGCAAACTGAAACAGACTGGCCACATGCTGTTAGTGAGCTGTCAGTTTTCAGGTAGGGATGGCGGAGTAATCTGTTATCTGTGAACCACTATCAAACAGAGCCAAAGAACACGATGAAAGGGTCAGATCAGTGGTGGGATGCTGAGATAACATCATACATCTCTGCACTTTTTGTAGTCACGCAGAACTCAATTCTTAGAACCTTTTTTTGAGGAAAGATAATGTGGTATCTAGCTATTTTAGCTGGACTGCCAGTTGTACCATTGAAGTATATTCATAAGTCACTGTGTTTACAAATGCTTCAAGTGCACTTTTGCAGTATCAGGTTTGGCTGTTTATTTAAATGATGAATAAAATAAAGGAGGCCTTGCACTCCCAAATTTCTTGCACTACTATTGGGCTTGCAATAGCCAGAAAAAATGTATATTGGAGGAATAATTTGAATTCTGAACTCCTTTGTTGGGCCTACCTGGAACAATCCTCAGCAAGCCTCTCTCTGCACTCTGTTATCTGCTCTCAGCTACCATTACCTGGGTTTACTATGGGGGCAGTTGTGGCCAAATGGTTAGAGAGTTGGACTTGTAACCCGAAGGTTGCAGGTTTGCGTCTCAGGTCTGGCAGGAATTGTCGGTGAGGGGAGTGAATGTACAGTGCTCTCTTCCACCCTCAATACCATGACTGAGGTGAGACTCTTGAGCAAGGCACCGAACCCCCAACAGTGAGACATCTCATCCTTTTAAAATGGAAACATGCCTCACCCCCTGTTTTTGATACATAGCCAAAAGAGGTGTTTACTTGCAGTAAAACTGGAAAAAGTTAGACTGTCACTCAATGGTTCTTTAAGGACCTTTGATAAACTGTGGCGCCTATTTTTAGATTATTTGTTGGATAAGTCTCTCTGCCCTCATTTACTTACCCTCATGTTGTTCTAAACTGTATGACTGTCTTTGTTCTACTGAACACAAAGAAAGATATTCTGAAAACGGTCAGTGTTTTTGATACATAGCCAAAAGAGGTGTTTACTTGCAGTAAAACTGGAAAAAGTTAGACGGTCACTCAATGGTTCTTTAAGGACCTTTGATAAACTGTGGCGCCTATTTTTAGATTATTTGTTGGATAAGTCTCTCTGCCCTCATTTACTTACCCTCATGTTGTTCTAAACTGTATGACTGTCTTTGCTCTACTGAACACAAAGAAAGATATTCTGAAAATGGTCAGTTTTTTTTCACAAATTAAAGTCCCTGGGATAGGACTGCATGGTTTGCGATTTTTCTGATAAAAATGATCAGAATTAAGCTGATAAAAGAAAAAAGCTCCAGGTTTGTTGTGATCATTACCAGGCCAAAACTTTGGTGATTATATATCAATATGACTATTAATGATGACACAATATTTCACTATAAAATAAAAATAGAGTATTTAAAATGAAATAGTATGCTATAAAAGACTACAATACTATAAAACTTTATGGCCGTCTTAATTTCTTAATTTTCAAGTTTTTACCATCAAGTTTTTGTTTTGGCAGAAAACTGCAGGGAGCCTTAAGCATCTCTTTTGTTTATAAGTTTAGAAAGATGGTTGAAAGATCTATTTTGTTTATAAGTATGGGAAGATGGTTGGTGCATGTTGCATTTTCAAATGCACATTATAAACAATTCAGATTAAGAGCAAATTCAGAGATTAATTTGTGTGGAGCAGCATTTACTGCAAATCGAGATCCTGAAAACACTGACTCATGAGCTTCTTGCATATAAATGAACACAGTGCCGCACTTCACTCAGAAACAAGCAACACGTATATTTAATTAAATCACAGCTTTTGTGATTTGATAATCACACCAACCCATATCGCAATATTTAAATGAATCTTACAGCCTTATCTTCTTTTGTATTCTGCAGAAGAAAGAAAATTATGCAGGTTTGGACCTGGACCGACATGAGGATGAGTAATACAGAATTTTCATTTTTAGGTGAACTATCTCTTTAAATGAAACATAACCAAAAAGCCTTTCTCTGAGCAAAAAACAAGTCCTCTGGGTGGTCTGAGTGTGTATGTGAGAGCAGAATTATATACGTAAACCTGTGTGAACGTTATTACATACAGATAATTTGTCAGCACTCAAACATAAGCATGAGCTCATGTCAGGTATGTCGCATGTGAGCTTTCATAACACCGGACTATTTATACTCTGGCATGTGTCTCCAGTCTATTACAACACCCAACACGGCAAAGCCATGAATAAGAGCTAGACAGTGTGCCGTGCAACACTTCAAACCCAGTTCATGTGCTATAAAACAGACCTGGTGTCATTTCTAATCAGACTCATCTATTATATTAATGTGAGACAGGTCTCATCTTGGTTTGGCGCTCTTAACCCATCTGTACAAGTCATTACAGCTTCATTATAAAAATAATAAGTGCTACATCCCTTCATGTGGACGGTGTGATTGTTAAGCATGCTATCCGTTGCTTACTAGATGACAATGACACATTTAAAAAGTGGATTTACAAAAGAGCATCTGAGGGGATTTTTCTTTTCATTGAGTGAATTTATTATTTACAATTTGTGCTAAGAGTTTCACACAGACTATGCACAGACTGGTATTGTTTCTGTGTGTGAAATTAGTGTGAAGCTCAGAAGATTTAGAGATGAGCTAAAATAAAATATCTAATTTAAGACAAACAAGATGACTGCCATAGTATGAGTCTAATCTTTAAGCTGGTGTTGATGAACAGCTTACTGCTTACAGTGCTGAAGACAGTTTGGTCTCCTGCTGAGCGCATCCAATCTCATATGGATCTGCAGATGCTTGTGCTCAGTTTTTACTTCCTGCATGTTTGTCAGAATCAAGATGCTGTTAGATGTTACTGGAGTACAGTGCACAGCAAATCATTCTTACTCAGTATTTTTGGACTTAAAAATATCTGACATTCTTAAAGCAACATAAAAGTAGTTGAGAAGCAAATTTGTGTATGGATCTTACGTTTTTGCTGTGGCACTTTAAAACTTTACTTCCCCTTTTTCTTAATTTCTAATTCTATTTAGGATCCCTTACAGTAAGACATTTGCTAATGAAGTCACACCAGTTAGATCCTACTACTAATTGTTTTGTTTTGTTTTGTTTTGCTTATGTGCCTTAATTAATGGTAAGTATATCAAATTCTATATTAAATGATAATAAAAAGATTAATAATAATTAAAACATTTCAGTTTGTCAGCCCGAGGAGGTAGGCTAGATGCTGTGCAGTAGACAGATTCATGTGTTAGCTGGTTGGTACACCAGCAAAAAAGTGTTATATCACAGCTCAACTGTGGTGTGAAAGACACGGTAATGGAAGTAATGTGAAATGAGTTTTAGTGAGTAAGAGAGAGACGGTGGGGTGCTTAAGGGAACATCTTGGGTGCCTTAAAACGACTCCTTCACTAACTAACAGATAAGGACTAGCACTTCTCACTCACAGCAGTAAAGACAGACAGAAAGAGGAATAGAACAAGTACACCAGAAAGTTGAAAATTGAAATATAAAGAGGTGATCCAACAAAGAAAATAATACAGACAGAAGGGAGAGATAGAAAGAAAAATTAGGCTTTTTACTAAGGCAAAGGGTGATAATTCATAGTAACACCATTTTTCTCTGGTGTCTTTCTCTAAAAAGATAACAGCAGTCATATATCTAATAAAGAAGAACAATATTGTTGAGAAGTTTTGATTTAGGTTTAGTATGTTAATAAGTAATTTGTTTTTGAATTTGTTATTGTTTTCCTAAGTGCTCACTGTAGTTGTTTATTAATAAGCGACGGCAGCAATGTTCTCTCCAGCACACAGTTCTCAGATACATGCTCACCAAAAATGCTACCATGATTCTATTGCGATAATATATCAAAAGAGCTTTTGAACATTTCTAATCTTAATGTTAAGATTTGCATTTCTTTTTGCAACTTGGAAATGAGCAAATACTCCACAATAGATACCTGATATCCGGATCAGTACGTCACATACAATTTTTGTCGAAACAGTTCACCGTTTAGCCGAGTTATTTGTGCAAAATCGGATTTCAGGATTTAAGTGGTTTTGTGACATCACAGCTGGCACATCTGCCCTCCCCTGCAACTGTCCTCACCGTGTTTCAGAAATAAAGTGATGTCCATAAAAACTCTTTGCAGAATGATCTCGGCTTCTATTGGGCTCAATGGCTTTGTACACCATTTTCACAGCACTTGACATTAGACCTCAGCACTTCAGATTAAAGTCGATCTGCATACAAGCCAACTTTTTGAGAGTAAATAACCACAATACGGAGGAACAATAATCATTAGCATCTGCTCTTGTAAAGTCATTGTATTTACCCTTGGGCAATATTTCCAATTACGTTTGCTTTAATAGTCTTGCACTCTTGTCTTTTCTCTCTCTTAGGACCATGGCTTTCCTGTGTTTAGCGTTTTCTTTGTAATGAAGCTCCTCTCTGTTGTTACATAAGCCAACATTTAGGGAAAAGGCAGCACTGATTTTTGATTACTCCAAGAGTAATAAAGACAATATTTCCAGTAATATCCGGAAACGTTGGTGAAATCTGATCTGGAAAAGGAATTCTCTGCACCTACAGCCATAAATCTACATTTCTGAAGCAAATATTCAACCTAACCATTTTCCAATATCGGCAAATCGAGGCATGTGGCAATAAGCATGCTGATTAGAAAAAAGTGAGATGTTTACATCGTTTTGAAGTCCAGGACATTGTACTCAGGCCAGTCGATGTAGCAGACCACCCTGCCAGGCAGCTGGTCCATGTCGGAATAATAGTATTGGGGGAAGGCCAGCAGGAGAGCCAGCACCCACATGACCCCGATGACCACCTTCGTCTGAGTTGCAGACATCCTCTGCTGCAGCGGATGAATGATGGCCATATATCTGTGGAAGAAAAAGACAGATGTGCTGAAAGCTCCACATCTGTTGTATACAGAGATATTTATATATTATTTTTTTACTTTAAGCTTATTTCCGGTTGAACAAAAAATGAATAAAAATGAAATATAATTATTCAAAATTAAACAAAAACAATTATTATTAATACAACAATACAATTATTAAACAATTTAAGGAATAGTTTACCCAATAATGCAAAATTGCTGAAAGCTACTCACCTTCAGGCCATCAAAGATGTAGAAGAGTTGGTTTCTTCGCAGGAAGACATTTGGAGAAATTTAACATTATGTCACATTACACCCAAATAGCTGATAAAAACATTACAACAATCCACAAGTAATCCACATGACTCCAGCCTATCAACTAATGTCTTGTGAAGTGAAAAGCTGTGTTTGTAAGAAACAAAATCATCAAGAGATTTTAACTTTAAACCATTGTTTCCAGCTAAAACACGAGTCCTCAGTCCATAATATTGCTTTCTCCAATTCTGTGGATTTTGATGTGAGAGGGACAACAGATGATGGACTTTTTCACTGAAGGAAGAGTTATTATTCATTATGGACTCACAAACACGCAGCTTTTCACTTCACAAGACATTAATTGATGTACTGGAGTCGTGTGAATTACTTGTGGATTACTGTGTTGTTTTTATCAGCTGTTTGGATTCTCATTCTGACAGCACCCATTCACTACAGAGGATCCATCGGTGAGCAAGTGATATAATGCTACATTTCTCCAAATCTGTTCAGATGAAGAAACAATGTCATCTACATCTTGGATGGCCTGAGAAAATTTGCCACTTGTAGCAGCAAATTTTCATGTTTGGGTAAACTATTCTTTTAATGCACTTTTGTGTTAAATGTTTTCGTTCTCGTTAGGGAGAATGCATTTTATGTAATCAAATAAATTAAAGTCTGAAATGCATTCGTTAATTTGTGACCCTGGACCACAAAACCAGTCTTAAGTTGCACGGGGATATTTGTAGCAATAGCCAAAAATACATTGTATGGGACAAAATTATAGATTTTTCTTTTATGCCAAAAATCATTAGGATATTAAGTAAAGATCATATTCCATGAAGATATTTTGTAAATTTCCTACTGTAAATATATAAAAACTTAATTTTTGGTTAGTAATATGCATTGCTAACAACTTTACAGGCGATTTTCTCAATGTTTAGATTTTTTCTGCACCCTCAGATTCCAGATTTTCTAATTGTTGTATCTCAGCCAAATATTGTCCTATCCTAACAAACCATACATCAATGCTTATTTCCTTATTTATTCAGCTTTCAGATGATGTATAAATCTCAATTTTATTCTCAATTAAGCCTGGTTTTGTGGTCCAGGGTCACATTTGATGTTAATTGAGTTATTTTGAGCCTTAATTATAAGTCTCATTAAATAGCATTTATTACATAAAAAATATTTAAAAGTTTTTTATTTTTTCTTATCTCCAACAAAGAGAAACTCTTCAAAGAGAAAAAGAGCGTATTCCCTTTCCTTAGAAAATCTTGGTGGTATAAATTAAGACAAACTGTCTGCTTGTGGATTTGGCTCTCAGCACACATTTCACTCTATTTAAACCACTCTTATTTTCCTGCTGTGATCTTCATTGATAATTTGCAGCTTGGGTTGTGCTTGAAAGCATGAGATATTGTCCTGCTCTGTCAACACATCAGTGATTCATCACATCCACACACTCGCACACACACACACACACACACACGCACGCACGCACGCACGCACACACACACACACACACACACACACACACACACACACACACACACACATCTCTGTCCAGCTCACAAAGATCTCAGTGTTATCTAAGATAAATCCTCTTAAATCATTTGCTCCAATATGGAGCTTTATCATTATAAAACGGAATGAAAATGTCCAGAGAGTAAATCCCCCACACACAGCTTACAAATCTATTGAGCGTCTACAATAGTTGATTTGTGGAGTTTTTAGTTATGGGTTTGTGCTCTAATACAACAGGCTAGTGTATCATTGTGACAATATGAGCTCTGCAATAATAAAGAAGATCTTAGTTATCAGTTATCAGTTATATGGACAGTGAATACACTTGTGGCAGGATTTATTTAACTTATTCATTTGGAGTTGGAAGAAACCTTGCAGAACTTAATGTACCACTTTCAGACTGTGAGATGGTATTAAAGGCCAGGTTTGTCAGCATTTCATCTGAAGAGTAAAACATTGCTTTGTTTTCCTCAAAAGTTGTGTGCAATGTGTGGTCTCTACAAGAGTTGAGAACCAAGATTTTCATGGCGTTCGGTTCTGTTACTGGTTCTCAGCGTGAAACATACAGTGTGACCAGTGAAGTCTGATTCTTGAGCGAATGACTCTTATCAGATGTTTCGTTTTAGTGAATCACAAACATTGATCAATTTTGAAAAGTTTCTCAGTTAATCTGACTGATTTACTAAACTGCAATTCAGAGGCGAGGCCAGACATTTTAAAGTGATTGGACCTTGGTGAAATTAGCTTAAGTGCCTATACTCTCAAACTAAAGTACATTATTTTACATAAGATAAAAACAGGGATACAAATTCCGACAGTCTGTTTTTGGTTGAAAGAGAAAAAGGTCAAAAATATATGCCTGAATTGAAAATAAAAATGTGACTTTACTTGAAAATGTGATCTGTTATACACAACAGATGTCTTGTGTCATATATCGTTGAAAAGGTTACTTGTTTCACATAGACCAAACAACACCAAGTACATGTAAACAGTATACACATGCGGCTTTTGGGCCACGTTTTGGTTTGTAGCTTCAGCAAACATTAGTAAACCCTAATAGGTCACATACATTTATGTAAAGTAGGTGTTCTCAATTCAAGCAAGCCCAAACACAGCATAGCACACTGCGTAGATCTTGAGATAATCATCATAGAGTGGCATTACATGCCACTTCGCTTAAGCCAAAGGACATCCGGGATCCTAATGTGTGTCAATGATGATGATGATGATGATGATGATGATGATGATGATGATGATGATGATGATGATGATGATGATGATGATGATGATGATGATGATGATGATGATGATGATGATGATGATGATGATGATGATGATGATGATGATGATGATGATGATGATGATGATGATGATGATGATGATGATGATGATGATGATGATGATGATGATGATGATGATGATGCATTTTATTTTTCTACGCCATTTCAAAACGTTGGAAAGTTCAACCAATTACCCTTTTTCATAAATAGTCTATTGCATTTTAGATTATGGGAGGTACTTCTGATCTGGGGATGTTTCACTAAAAAACACGGAAACAAATCATTTCAAATCATAAGGTTTCGCTACAAATAATCCTTATCTGTCCGTTTGATTGAATGAGCTGTAAATTTTCCTTCATGTTCTATTTTCAGATGGCAGGAAAATAACGTAACACTTGGTATTTTGGTGACATAGTATAACAAGAATATCTGTGGCAAGAGCTATTTCAATCTGCTGAATTATTTTCCTCCTGATTATTTTCCTTTTTTCTTTGTATGAAAAAAGACAACATACACTGTGCATTTATGGTCTACTCTCCCAATTTAAGTACAATGAATAATTCATTAGAATGCTCTAAGAATCTCCAAAAAATCCTCTTTTAATTCTATCCTGTTTCTAAAGCAGGTAAATACAATATCTGTCAAAGTGAGGAAAATCACTCAATATTACCACTCAGTGTTCAGGTAATGAACATTTTTTATTAAGGCTACATTTTGCTGTAGAAATAATCACGTTTTTGGGGGTTATTCATGGTCTGTTGAAAGTAATTTGTTAATGATTTGTTCATGTTTGATGGTTGAAAGGTTAGTAGAATAATGTCATCTCATTGCACCTGTTTTTTTGTTTAAAAAAAATGCTTAATGTTGCATTCATTGAAGGAACCTTTGATTGATTGTTTACAGTTTAACAGAGGTCACTCCCATCATTCGCACCAAGTGTCATGAGACGTAGGAAAAAGGTGGATAGAAACTGGATCTCAGGTGGGTGGGTATACTGGGTAGGGACGATGAGTAATGACCAATCAGGGACTGTTTTACTGGATTGGACTGATCACTCAAATTGTCAGCTCTTGCATTTACCATTCGCCAAATAATAGAAGTGCACAACTGGAAGAGGAGAGCTCAGCCAGGATATTACTTCTTATATTTATTCTTTACATTTATACACATGCAAGTAGTTCTTATGTTCATGTATTCAAGCAATTATTGTCATGTATACAGGATTTTTCTTCTTAACTATAAATAAACAATTTTGTATCTCATTTGGTTGGGTGGACTATACCAATCCTGGCCCTTCTAAAGCCTTGCAATTGCCACAATTTGTTTTCACCATGAAAAAAAAAATACTAAGCAGAGACGGATCTTTGATTAAAGAAATGCTACTGTAGTCAAATGCACACCGGCATCAAGAACAGCCGTACCCGCAAAACACAAATCATGTATGCCACATATTCTGCAAATTTCCCCGAAAGGTGAGCATTTTGCATTGCTGGTTATAACTATATCTCAGCATTTTGCAAGAGAATTGCATTTCTGTTTTCCATTTCTTCTTCAAATTCAAAAGAATTGCTAATGATAATCATTAAGAGTAAACAGAAGCATAAGTTTTAATTAACTTCTGATTAACATCTCTATAGGTCTCCTCTGGTTTACTACTGTATATTAACTCCAGGCATGGCAGTAATGGTGGCTTCTGTGACACCCTCCCTACAAGCAGAGCTCTTGATTAGGTTGACTAGTTCACTTTTTTTGTACTTTTATTTCCTTCTCCTGATTAAACTTATTTTTAATTAGTCTCTAACTTCCTGGAATGCTCTAGTCTTATTCACAGTTGTCCTTTAGATTCAAAACCTGAATAATGATCAATTTATTTTAAAGGGGTCCTATTATGCTTTTTCACTTTTTCAACTTTAGTTAGTCTGTAATGTTGCTGTTTGAGCAT